GAAGTCGAGCCAGAGCAGATGGTATCACTCAGAATCGCGCCCCCCTTCCCCTCTTCTCCCTTTCCATTTCTTCCCCCCCCCCCCCCTCCTCGGGAGAAACAGTTTGGATAAGTTACACAAGTGATCTCCAATGTGATGAACACAAACATGGCGGGACCTTCAGTTGACTCCAAAGCTTTGGCATCTGTCACGGGGGGGGGGCTGTTTTATGGCTCAGTGCTGACTCAGATGAAAGCTTGCCATTAAGTTACAGATGTTGACGTTTGAGTCACACCTCAGCATGTTCGCTGGACTTAAATGTCTTTTTTTTTTTTTTTGTGCTCCAACTCGTGTCTCAGTGGGTTTGTTTTTGGTATACTTGGAAAAGGCACATTTGGCTAAACTATTTGGCCTTTGGCTCCTGGAATCACTGAACCTGCCAGCTCGTGTGAGCATGCCGGGAAGTCAAAAGTCGGATAACACTGACCCCGTTTTACACGTTTTTGGTCAACTGCGAACTGCTTGTAATGTTTTGACATAAATGTTCGAATCCGTGGACCCGAGCCTCCCTCCCTCCACATACTGTCGAGGATTTACACAAGTGAAGCCGCCCATGCATTAAATTGAACCTATGTTTCTTAAGGCTTTCATGCACCCTGTAACCTGATAGCATAAGCTGTCCACTGTAGTAACCGCTGTCCCTCAAAGCTGCCATTTGGGGACAGGCCGCCAAGAAGAGTCAAGCCCTGAACCCGCTTAAAATGAAATTTGGATGAAACTCAAGAATGCGCTCCTCACACCGCAGAGCCTCTTTGCCTCCCCTCTCTCTCGCTTCTTTACCTGTCCCGCAGAAAGCCCCCATTGTGTCCCAAAAGTGCCCTGGTCTCAAGTCTGGATTATTCCGGACTGGATTCTGTCGACTCTCAGAATGATTGACAAATCCATCCACCCCAAAACAAATCCCATCGCACCTAATCTCCAGAATCCTGCTTAAGATAACTTACTGATAGCAAGGTCATCTCCGGAACCTCATTTTAGTCCCCCCCCCCCACCCCCAAATTAGTAAACAGAATATTTCTCTCCTGATGGTCCCGTCTTCCTGTCTCCTGTTTCTATTTCATACGTCAATGGATCAAGCAGAGAACTTGACAGCACACCCCACTTCTAACATTCCTTATATGAACCTTCCAGCTCTGCTTTTGCTCCGTCACGTTTCCTCACTGTGACTCAGCAGCTTTCAAGCGGGACACAAAGCAGGCTGAGTCGCCGGCGAACGCCCCCCCACCCCCGTTTTTTTTTTTTTTGGCCCGGTTCGTACAATCATAATGACTTTGTTATCCCTGGAGGGGAGGGCGATTTAGAAGTTAGATCCCATGGCATGAAACAAACGGGGGTTGCGGTTGCGGGTTCAGTTCCTTGCTCAGAAGTAGTCATTAGGAAAGACAGCTTGATTAACGAACGTCTTGCGGCTTCGGTCGAGATGAGATAGCGAAAAGTGGGGGGTGGGGGCGGCCGCGAGGTTGGCTTTGCGGCGGCGGCAACACTGAGTCATCCTTTGGAACGCTCGCCGACTCACCACAGCACTGAAGGCGACGCAAATGCATTTTAGGATTTGCGATAAGCCTCGGTTATCAAATCGTGATCCCGGATGGTCCGTTGACAGGTTTAAGACGGAGACATCGGACAGGAAGCGGAACTCCTCCGTCTTCATTTGTGACTTTATCCAGTTTTTGATTAAAATCGCCGCCTTGCTCATCTGGCGATGGCCGGCAGTGGAATTTCCCTCCAAACATTTGGTGTTGAAGATTAATTTCCTCCCGAGACAACAAGGTCATCGGACTTTTTTCTTTTTTTTTTTTTATTTTATTGTTCTTTTCTCATGATTGGTTCCCAGTACCGAATGAAATCATCTTTCAACTCAGCTCAGTTTACTGAAAACATGAACACCACGTCACAGTTGGCACCGATCGTCCGCTGTGCACTTTGCATCGGCCAAGCGCTTGCACGTGCGCGCGTATGTACGTTGCACTGGGATGATCGTAGCACTGTGTGTGCATGCGTGTGTGCGACCTGCTCTCCTTTAATGAATATGCTTGTCATGTTAACAGCAACCAAATGTTGAAGTGATCTCACAGCATGCAACCGCCATCGAGCATTCATCTGCATGAGCGCATGACACGTGTGCATATCTTAATTGCGCCTGCTTGTCATCAGTGTCGTCGCTGATTTCAGTGGCTGTCAAAGGTGAGTTTTAATGTTTTTTTCTGGACCGTTCAATTGGGGTTGTATTGCTCTTCCACTCCACTGACTAAGTGCAGATTTTTTTGTGGCATCTCTGTGCGAAGAAACGATGTTGAAGTAAAGCCATAGCCTTGTCTAATGCCTGCATCGTGCCATCTGTGGGCAATTCTACTTTCGCTATGTTTCGCTATTCACAGTGATTCTTGGTCCCGATCGTACGTCGTCGAAATATTACAAACAGCACTTCTAGCTGCCCGTGAGAGCTTCCGCTCACCCAATTGGACACATTCTATCGAACCGACTAAGCTTTTCCCCCCCTCTGTGGAGTGTTTGGATCGCTCTCAACGGGACCGAGACCAGGCATGTAAACACTGGTTGCTATCCACATGTGGATAATGAATGTCAGTGTGTAATCCGACCAGAAGGGCCTGTTGTCTTTGTTACTATGCCATTTGACGAGGAAAAAAGGGGCGTTCACCTCGCTCAAGCCCCATCGATTGCCCCATTGCTTGATGACGCATCGTCAACTTTCACTTTAGTTGCAGGTGCAAATGGGAAGACCCGGACCGAGTTAGGTTTCTCACTGCTGACATGCGAGCGAAAAACATTGTCAATCGGCGACCTGGTGGAGCTCCTTGAGAAGTTGAATGGGATCACACTACATGTCTTTGTGTGTGTCCAGCTGCTTAGTCAGAACATGAAGTGATGTCATGGACCGAGCTGTGGGAATGTTGTCCCAAGAACCGCGCCAGGAACCGGCTGCATCCTCTCACGCGTCATTCAGGCTTGCGGAAGGGGGGGACAGTAATCATGGAATAAGCCTCAATTAGTCCACCAGTGGAAAATTCCAATGTTACGGTAAAGTGAGAGGAATAGGAATGGCGGTCAAGAGCACGATTAACGCAGAAGTGAAATGTGAATAACGGCAACAGTCGTCATTACCCAGTTTAAAGTTTGTTCAAAGTCACGCTCAGTCAGACTTTCTCACAATTAGTCAGCAGTCAAATGGAACAGGAAGTGCCGACGGCCAGCTGAGTCAGCCGAGCCCCATTTTTGCTTCTAGGGTCTAAAAGTCAAGTTGAGTTTATTTGGATAGCCCGTCATTATAAAAGGGCTTGATGAATATTAGCGACATCCCCAGTTATAAACACACACAACCAAGCACGGAAAAACTCAAAACCGCATATGGTTGATTCAAAAGCCAAAAAAGAAAAAACATGGCGCCGAGTAGAGTTGAGGGCGATGGTGGGGGTTTGCGGTCCAATTAGGACATGTGGCAGAAGTGCGCCTGATTTCCAGCGTTACTGGCCCGCGGGGCTCCTCGCCCGCTGAGAGTCCCGTTTACAGGAGCTGCCTTTGTACTGCACAACTATATTAGTTTGCCCTTAATGCCTTCCAGATGTGCACCGACATGCTGCCACTAAGGGGCGCTACTTATTTTGACTTCAAAATGGCGCCGCGAGAGTGTCTGCCTTTCCGGCAGCTCCTATATTTTGTTGTTCTACTTCTTCCTTTCATAACTTTGCTGCTGTGTATTGGGAATTTCTCCATTGCGAGACTAATAAAGGTTTTCTTATCTTATCTTATCTTACATTATAGCGGCATTGTCCCGCTCAGGAAAACCAGCCGTTTGCACGTGTGTGTGCATTATTCTGGCCTGTCCCATTTTTTTTTTGTTTATTGAACTAGTAAAGGCAAAAAGATGCACGGCAGGCAGCGGGTTTTACACGTGGATGGATGCGTGTTATTTATAGGGCGTATTTGACACGTTGTCAGACTCGAGGGAGTCGTAAAAAAAGACAGACTGTGACTTTCCAGCAAGCAAAGCAAATATAAATTGCGGAAAAATACGCTACAAATCCATATGAGAGTACAATGCTACATGGAAAAGACAGATAATAGGATACAGTGTTCCAGTGAAGTTTAAGTCGACGGTCAGTAAACATTTCATGAGGAGCAAAGACTCGTTTCAATCCAGGAGCTTTATCCTGAATTTCTCTGCTAACACAAACATGTTGCAAGGAGACACCAGAGCTAATGCTAGCCTCCCATTGCTTTCTTGTTAGCATGAACATTCTTGGAAATGCCGCCGTCTTGATTTTTATTCATGCCCAACTGTCACCTACAAGACTTAAGTAGGACAGCTGCTGTGTAAATCTGTCCCATTTGTTGACC